GAAGCTCATGCCGGCGTTCGGCTCCGCGCTCCGCCCCGGGGCTGCCTGCTGCCGCCTCCTCCTCCTCCTCCTCGCTGCCAGGAGGAGGTGGTGACATCCCCCCCTTGCTTCGCTCCCGCTCGGGGGGGGCTCCCAGAGAGGATCCGCAAGGATCGGCCCACCTCCCGCTCCAAGATATCCGCCCTGCGGGTGCATCCCGCTCGCGGTGTCTCTTGCCGCTCCCTGGGCCCCTTTCGCCCCCCACGGCTCTTGCAAGGTGAGGAGCAAAGCCTGGTTCTCCTCCCACCCCGAAAGGGGTGGCTGAGCTTGGCATCAAGACCTGCTTTTGGTTGCCCTGTTGGCCAAAACGCGAGGAGGGACGTCAGGCACCCAACCCTGCTTGGCCGCGCACCTGGCCCAAGCCCCCGAGCGGGCCCAAAGTCATCCCAATGACCCCCGTCCTCGAGTCCACCTTGAGAAACAGGTGACACCGGCTGAGGAGACCCGGCCAAGGGGGCAGCCAGGGTCTGGCCTCTTTTCTCAGTCTTTAGTCACTGCTCTGGCATCTCCCCATGCAACAGACCCGGGCGGCTCTGCTTGCAGCAGAGCGCGGCTCATCCGCACTGCCTTGGACCGCGTTCAAGGTAACATGAGACCTGCCCTATATTTAGGGCCCGTATCGCGTGTCAAAACGAAGCCGGGCTGGTGCCTACAGAAGACACCAGCACGCAACCAGGAGCTCAAGTGGGCGCCTCACCTTCAACCAAGGACAGGAAAGCAGCGCTGCGATCCTTCAACACGGTCTGGAGAGCCACATCCAGTGACACTGAGGGGACGACACATGGGCTGGAGCGCGGGACAGTCACACGGATGCGTCTTCCACAGCCTCCACTACATCTGGAGGCCAGAAGCCAACAGCAGGAGCTCCAGTCCTCACATGTGAGGACAAATGTTCATTCCTAGCTCGAGGAGGGGAAGGTCAAGGAGAAAAAAAACACTCTGTTATGTTCCTTTCCCATTTTTAGCCTGATTTCCTACGGAAATGAGATGTCTGTCAGTTCCCCTCAAGCAGCATCTTGAGCACATCGGCCAATTCCAACCACAGCCGACAGCCCAAAGCCACGGGTCCTGACCTGCCTTAATTGCAACTGTTTTAAAAAAGATATAGATCTCTGGGGACATAGAATCCGAGAATCATAGAATCATAGCATGCTTAAGGTTGGAAGGGACCTCTAGAGATCACCTAGTCCAACCCCCCTGCACACACAGGGTCACCTAGAGCACGTGGCACAGGACTGCGTCCAAGTGGGTTTTGAAGATCTCCAGAGAAGGAGCCTCCACAACCTCTCTGGGCAGCCTGTTCCAGTGCTCTGTCACCCTCATTGTTAAGAAATTTTTCCTTAAGTTCCTGTGGAACTTTTGATGCTTCAGTTTGTGGCCATTTCCTCTAGTTCTGTCGGTGGCCACCACTGAAAAGAGGCCAGCACCATCCTCCTCACTGCCTCCCTTGAGGTACTTATAGACACTGATCAGGGCCCCTCTCAGCCTTCTCTTCTCCAGGCTGAACAGGCCCAGCTCCCTCAGCCTCTCCTCATAGGGCAGATGTTCCAGGCCCCTGATCATCCTTGTGGCCCTGCGCTGGACTCTCTCCAGCAGCTCCACATCCCTCTTGTGCTGTGGAGTCCAGAACTGGACCCAATACTCCCGCTGTGGCCCTCACCGGGTGCTGCCTCATGGTCAACTTATCATCCACTATGACAGCCAGGTCTTTCTCTGCAGAGCTGCTCTCCAGAAGGTCGGTCCCCAGCCTGTACTGGTGTCTGGGGTTATTCCTCCCCAGGTGCAGGACCTTGCACTTGGCCTTGTTGAATTGCATGAGGTTTTTCACCGCCCAGTTGTCCAGTCTGTCCAGGTCCCTCTGGATGGCAGCGCAGCCCTCTGGGGTATCGGCTACTGCTCCCAGTCTGGTATCATCAGCAAACTTGCTGAGGGAGCACTCTGTGCCTTCATCCAGGTCATTGATGAATAAATTGAACAGGACTGGACCGAGGACTGACCCCTGGGGGACCCCGCTAGCCACAGGCCTCCAACTAGACTGCAGAATCTGAGGAAATATTCCAAATCTACACCCCTCCTGGCCCCTGCTGCCACATCCCTGTTGCCACCTAAAGTTAGGAAGTGCAGCTAGGCACCATCTATAGACTTGGGCGTCCTTATTTCCCCCTTGCCAAACCCTGTCCGCTGCCTGTGGCCCTTGTGGCTCCTGCATTTGGGTTCCATGTGAAAATCCCCTATTTATCTTGGCCTGGCTTCATCCCGGCTTTTGGGCTCTTGGCTCATGCACTGAGCCATGTTTGCGCGGGATCCTTTCGCCAGACTGCCGTGGAAATGAGGCTTCAGGATCTGCTACCACCACATAAATCACTTCTTCCAGGATGACACCGCACCTGCAGCAGGGCCAGATGAAGGTGGGTGGGGTAGATCTTGTCTTCTGCTGAAATATTTGTGGTCTGGCTAATCCACGCTCACAGTTTTGCTTCCCAAAGATGCCGAGTTTGCATGGGAAAAGCGGCCAGTTTCACCCACAAGTCACTTCCCCTGCACACAGATCCGGCTGAAAGAAAAAGCTGCCCCAAGGCAAAGAACAAGCTCGGGCCGCGGGCTCAGCTCACGGGTTGCCCATCGCACTGGCCGACCTCAATTCCCCTTGGACCGTTGGCTATTTTGAGATCCAAACAAATCTGGTCTTGGCTGCCTCTGAAAGAAAAACAGCCAGTGTGTTTATTTTCATTTTAAAGAGGAAGGTAAAAGAAAAGCTGGGCCCTCCGTTCTCTCTATTCAATGAGTTGGAGGTGTACGAGCTAAAAGATCTAGGCAGAAAAAAGCACCTCCAAGCCTAAGCCCTGCTCCCAAAATAACTACGGTGTTTCAAAGCTGAACCCAATAGTTTTGGTTGCTACAGCAAAGATAAAACGCCATGAGAAAGTGAATTAGGACCAGCTCCTTTCCCAGTTTGTGTGGGAATCAAAAGCACTCTCTACTCCAGAGGACCAAACCCAGCGTTAGCACCTTGGGCCGGATCCCACTCACATCTCCGCAGGTTGTAGAGGCAGGAAGAGAAAAGGGAGACAAAAGCCACCGATCGCCACTGCCCGGGCTCATCCGTCACCCTCAGGTTTCCCTCAAGGCTTTGCCATGGGCCAGACCCTCCATCAAGGGGCTTCCTGCTCCGGCTGCATACGGAAGGGGAAGGAGGAGAGGAACCGAACCAGCACAAATTCTGGCGGCGCCCGCCTGCTGCTCAATCCTAACCGCCAAGGCATGTGTAGATGTGCAGCCAAATGCATCCGGATCACGCTGAGAAAATAAAGCTGGCTCTGCGCACAAGTTCAAAGACATCGTTGCAAAGCAGACGGGAACAAAAAAAAAAAAAAAAAAAGGATAAAAAAACCCCAGGGGCCC